TATGAGCAAACCTTTTGACCAGGGTCTGCACGGCTGATATTTACAACTAACCAATGTAGGTTTTGTTTATGTAAATTATTTATGTTCGTTATTATAGTATTTGTGTTTGTTGAATAATCGGCATCGATCATGACCAGGGTATAAAGTGCCCCTGGTGTGGTAGGCCAGTCCACGTTAGGCTTTGTTTTAACTTTCGTTGGTGTGAGCTCGTTACCCAGGTTAACAGTTGCACAACTTGGATATATCACCTAGATTAAATAAAATGTAATTAATATTGTCCAATAGAAAATCTATTAGAAACATGGATAGTTGTAGTAAAATTAATAATACAGTATATATGGTTTTTAAATATAATTTAAATGTTGCATTAAAAAATGTACCTGTAATAATGTACAGTACTAACTAGTATCTTATCATGGGATATGTGGTATTTATAATAATTAAACAGTTCACATTACCACTGTTTTATGTCTCATACTGTTGCAAATGTAATTTAGACATTGATCATATTTTAATACTTTTAGCATAACTAAATGTTTAAAATAAAAACATTTGGTTAAACTTTAAATTCAAATTAATTTGATACAATTTAGATGAAAACTGTTTAAATAAATTAATAAAATTTTAAAATTCCCCATTATGATAGATTCAGTATAATCTTTAAACACAATGAATTTCATTACCTTGATTATATTTGGTGGAACTGTATCGATAACATCAGGAACTATTAAATATTTATCCATTATGCCGCATTTAATAACATATAGTTAATTAATAATGAATTATTATTATACTAAAACAATTTTTTTATTTTACTTATTTTTATGTCTAATACAATATAATAATAATTGTGAATAAAAAGTATATTACTTATATCTTATCTCAAATGAGATAATAATGTGTGTGTGTACATGTTCAACATTTACAGTGTATATGATAGGTAGGTTTATTATAAGTTTCTAAGTAATCAATGTTATTATTTATTTCACAAAATAGTAGTGAAAATAATTCAAGATATTAATGTAATTAAATGAATTCAAGAAAATTAACTTTTTTGCAACATATAATATTTAAATATACTTTTAATATGTTTATTATATTGTATTTTAGCGAGCATAGTTATTTAAAACATAATAATAATTCTTAAAACACTTAATTTTATTTAAAAAATTTTATTTTTATAATTTTATTAGGCTTCCCAGAAAGTATTATCATTGCTCTAGATTCTTTTGTTACTTATGAACTAATCAAGGTTATTTAATAATATAATTTTATTTGGTATAATTCATATAAATATCTAACAAAATTGTTTGTTTAAATATCTTATTTATAAAGTTATTAAAATAGGGTTTTAACAGCATTTTATCAAGATAAGATTTATTGTTTATTTTGTTTATTGCAAATATTTATTAAATAAATTTAAATTAAATTAAAAAGTAAATATAAATTTTTAACCTTTAATCCTATTTTAACATTCAGTACATTTTAATAAATTAATAAACAATACTATAGTAAAATTAAATTGTAAATTATTTACTTTTCTAATAATTATAAATTTATATTTTTGCATATTTATTTTAAATTACATAATAAATAATACATTATTTATTTACTGTCAAATAATTTTTACATAATTATTTCTCACTTTTCATAAATGTTCAAACATTTCTGAATTAAATAAATGATTTTATTATTGCTATTGTAAAATATAACCTTGTCTTATCAATTACAAACGTGCCATAGGCGTTTGGACTAATAGACAAATCCCGAATAGTACATTTTCATATCATTATAAAACTTTTATAATAATTTCATTATGCTTATCATGATCATAATGCTTAGACCTTGATCATGATCACCTATCATCAATAGACATGTCAATTTATATTAATTATGACTTGGTAATTACATTCAAATTCTATTACCCTTGACATTGAGGATACTATGGGTATTTGTATTACACAAAACACTTTAATTATATATACAAATCGTAAAACATTTTGTCTATTATTCCCCTATAAGTGAAAATTCCCCAAAATAAAACAACAAAAACAAACAACATTATTGGAATACCAAGGTTAAACCAAATTTTCATGTTATTAAATACATGTTGTTATAATAGGTATATAAAGAGGTGAAAGGGTTTTAAAAGTTTACTTACAACTAGTATAGCAATTGACAAAAGTTATATAAGATTCCCTACATAATATAATGATTTTATCAGTTGTATTGATATGTATTGTGATATGTCTATCAAGTATACCTTTATGTCGGGCCCAGACATACCGGTGCGATGTCGGGGAAAAGGCGACAAATAATGCGATGAAAGAGGTCTTCCTATTCGCGGCCGACAAACAAAAATTTCCCACAAATGGCGCCGAAATGAAGAGCTATTGCGAGTAAATATTAAATCATCAGAATTGTATCTAGGGCATTATTAAAATATATTACTTTTACTTATTTTTTAGTGCAAACCTAGTAAATCAGAAAATTATTAAGACTTACGGCGACAAGTGTCTCACTCCTAACACCAAACGTATAGTGAACTTGATGATATATTCAATCGTAAAAAATGGTGCTAGTACGTGTAAGTCCAAACGCCGTAGTCTGGACTTTCAGCAAGTTGGTAAGTGCGGTAATGTTGGTCAGCCTGATAATCGTAAGTGTTGGGACGATTGGGTGGTCGCCATGACCGGCATTTCAGAGGTTGAGGATCATAAACTTAAGATACCACTTGCATGCTGGTCAGTTTGTATTTTAATTATTGTTTGATAAGTATTTTTAGTAGTTTACAATCAATTCTTATTTACTGAGAATTAATATTTTTAATTTAACATTAATTATATTATTTAGCATTATTTAAAAATAAATATATCTGTCCAGTGGATACCAAAACAACACATCGTGATATTTTTAGCTATACATAGTAATCGAAAAAGATTCATTATAATCCTTCATACTACGTGGTTATAGTCATAAATTTTCAACTTAGCTTGCTTATTCATACGAATAT